GTCAGGAAGTCAGGCCTAGTAACTGCTAGATGATTTTTTTTCCCTTCCCATTTGAGCAACTGTAGAGATTACTAGCCTGAGTTTAACTTTACAAGGATTACAAACTTGCAGCACTAAAGTTCAAAGTATATCTGATATGATCTTTAAGCAAAAAATATGAAACAATAAAATAATCCTGGCAAACCTTGCTGCTCTTTTCTATCACACTCCAACATGACAACATACTCTTATCCCCTAGTGCATTTAAAAAGACACTACCATGACCAGAGCTCACAAAAACTGCACATCAAATCTATGACTTTCACGAGGAAATCCTGTTCTCACTTATGGAACCAACTAGTTGTGCTTTGCATGAAACTGATTAATATCTTTTGAATAGTAGTGATGTTTAAACATTAGCAAGCACCTAACTTTTGCAGTAAATTATAATGTATTCTTATATTTCAAAATCTGTAAAATTCACATTATAGAATTACTCAAAAACAAAGTACTTTTCCTAGTCTGCATCCTTAACCTGAGTAGGTAAATTAATTAACTGTTTAACAAAGAAAAGTTACACAATTTCTCCAAAATCACATGATGAATCAAAGATACGTTACCTAGAAACTAAACGCCCTTGATTCGAAAAATGATGCACTATTAGAATACATAGATAAAATTGCCCAAATTCACAAATATAAAAAAAGGGGGGGGGGCTGGGAATTTAGCTCAGCTGCACGGGCACCTGCCTTGCAAGCAGGCGGTCGTGAGTTCGATCCCTGATACCAATAAAAAAAAGAAAAAGAAAAAGAAAAAGAAAAAAAGAAAATTCACAAATTCCATCACTTTTTTTCTTCTTGAGACAGGGGGCTCACTATATAGTACAGGCTGGCCTTGAACTCACTGTGTAGCCCAAACTGGCCTCAAGCTCCCAGTGATCCTTCTGCCTCAGCCTCCCAAGTGCTGGGATTACAGGCATGCGCCACCACCCCTGACAGCCATCACCTTTTAAAAACACATACCAATGCAAATGTTCACAATAAGCCAAACAAGCAAACGTAAATGTTTTTATATTTAAGATGTAATTTAAATAACCTTAGAATTCATACTTTAAATATACTACGTTTGACAATGCAGGTTAGTTACTGAAAAATGTTTGCCTGAACTATTTTGTTTTTTTGAGACAGGGTCTCACTATAATACCCCAGGCTGGTCTTAAACTTGTAATCTTTCTGCCTCAACCTCCCAAGTGACATCAACTTTTCCTAAACTTATAAATATCTTCAGTGATTCACTTATCTCCTGGATACTCTTAAAACTTTATTTTTAAGGTATATACATACTTAAAATGAGCATTCTTTTCTGGTAAAATGAAACCACATCTCAAAACTGTGCATAATCCCTACACAGTCTGACTAGGATATCTAGTACTTTGAATGTGAGCAAAGATGAGAACCCAAAGATGTAGGTGACTTTATACACTTACAGGAACTGACATAAACTGTTTGACTAAGATACAGTTCCCCTTCTCTTCACTTCACTACCAACTGAAAATGGTTTTTCCCAAGCTACTAAGGGAGCTAAGGAGTTATTTCTTCCATACTCCTTCCTCTGTCCTCTATTATGTTCCGTATCTACATTTCTAACATCTACAGGAATAATAAAGTGAACTACATTAATTCAGAAATATCTGCTATACACTCTTGTTTTACATGTCTGTTCAGTGACAGAATGGAACATGTTAACCCCTGAACATGAGAAGCTTTTATGAATTTATTTAACTATAAATTTGGCTAAAACCATTGCAACCATCATATCTGAAAGTCTAACTGCTCTGAAATGTTATGTTGTAGCCACATGTTATTCTGCTATGAAAATTTTCCTGAGTTTGAAGCATGCAAAAAATTTACAAACACTGCCTATTCAGCATATCACTTAAGGATCTTTGAAGAAAAAATAATCTCCTAAAATATGAGTAATGAAAATACACGATATCTTCCAAAACCCATACTTAAATGAATTAAAAAATAAGCATTATTTATTTTGTACCTCTAGGACAGCCATCTACACTGTTAAACCTAAGCAATGATTTTAGCGGGGTTGTTTGTTTTGCGGTAATGGGGAAACTAGCTGAGACTGTAGACGAGCACTCCACCACCAAGCTACCTTCCACCCTAAACCCACATCATACGGTAGCCCCAGCATTCTGGAGATGAGGCAGGAAGATCTGTAATCCCAGCATTCTGGAGTTGAGGCAGGAAGATCACCACAAGTTTGAGCCAGCCTAGGCTACATGGTGAGTTTGGGCCAGCCTTATCTACATAATGACTCTATGGCAAAAAAAAAAAACAAACAAAAAAGTATGATACGTGTCTTAAGTTGAACATGTAACTCAAATGGAAAAATAAAATACAAGTAATCGGGGCTGGGGGTTTAGCTCAGCGGCATAAGCGCCTGCCTTGCAAGCAGGCGGTCGTGAGTTCAATCCCCGGTACCGATAAAATGAAAAAGACAAAAAAAAAAAAGAGTCCAAAATAAAATACAAGTAATCTTTTTTCCCCCTTGTTTTTTTGAAACAGGGTCTCATTGTGTAGTTCAGGCTAGCCTTGAATTCACTCTGAGCCCAGATTCTGGTCTCGTACATGCAGCCCCTTGCTTCAGCCTCCCGGCAACCTCAGGGCTGGGATTACAGAGGTGCACCACCATGCCCAGCAAGTAATCATTTCAAGACAATTTTTGTTCGTTAGTCCAGTCCCCAAAAATCCCTAAGGAAAATTCCCTTAGTAAGTTTCTACTTATTAAGTTTCTACTCAAAACTAAATCTTGACGATAAAACCAAAAGCATGACCCAGAGCAAAACAAGTCGCTTTAAAAAAATAAAAACAAAGAAAAAAGTAACTAAAATATTAACAGCCGTCACATTCTAAGACATAAAATATACATATAATATTTCTAAAAGAATGTCTATCCCACACTTCTAGGAGGCTGAGGCAGGTGGATCACTGCAAATTTGAGACCAGCCAGGGGGCTATAAAGTGAGCCAAAGGCCAGCCTGAACGGCATAATGAGACTGTCTCAAAAAGTCAAAAAAAACTATCAATAAATATCATTTATATAGAAAACCGCCCCCTAAAAACCAACAAATAGGTATACAAAACTGACTTTTTAATGCATAATATAAAGACAACTGAATTTTACATTTACAGGTCTTTTTCTTTTTTCAGCATTCTTCAAATATCAGTTTCAGGAAATCTAAAACTTCCACATTACGATCCATTTCCATTTTTGGACCCCAACACACTTCAATACAGAAAGAGTAAGATGCACATTCAAGGGGCCACATCCTTCTACAAAACTGCCACATAGGCCCACCAATCATTGCAACTCTAACAGACCCACTACTATAAAACTCAGAAGCTTTCACTGCACATGTATTCATTCACACACTTCTCATGCTCAAAATGCAATACCACTCCAAGCCTTAGAACATGCCTAATACTGCCTCCTTTACCTAGGCTGCCTACTCAAGGCTAACTGGCTTCCTAGATGTCATCCCAAGAAACCAACAAAACAAAAACAAGGTTTCTCAGGAAGACCAGGAAATAGATCAACTGGGAAGTAGCTTGCTTCGGTCTCCTAACATCCCAACTTTATCATGCCTCCACACCTTTCAAATTACTCCCTATTTTCACCCCCCCCCAAAACACTCAATTTTGCCACAAAGGCAGTCTGATCTAATGAATCAAAACCTGCCAAACTCTTCTATCCCATTCCTTTCAAACATAAAGCCCTAGCCTCCAATAAGAGGGTACGAAAGAGAGATGAGGAGGGGGCAGTAAATCTCCTTTCCTCTCCATTAAAGTACTGTTATTCTTTCCAAAAAATTCAAAGACATCTCCCCCTTCCCTCCATCCTTCCCTTTTATCTCCACCCCCCGAAGAGACTGTCCACCCCCCCCCAAGAGACTGTTCCAGAGACTGCCCATATCCCAGAATTTCCCCAAATAAATACCCCACACAATCCTGGCTCCTTAAAAAGTTACAAAAAAAGGAAAAAAGAAAAGAAAGAACCCAAGAGCTCTGCTATCACTCTAAAGCTCCTTAATAGTATCTCTACAACTATCTAATACTACTCAAATAGTTTAAAAGAACAAGTCTCTAGGTCTTTCCCGCCCCTCAAAAATAATCCCACAGCCAAATTACCTTCAGTCGTCCTCCTAATCTTTCAACATTTCCAGGACCCTTATACTTTTTACTACCCCTTTTTATTTCTCGAATACTTGTATCTACCAAAAAGGGGGGGGGTGCCTAGATGCTGCAGGTATATCCCTTTTAAGCCCTCAGCAAATATTACATACCAGTGTAGCCCTTTCTTCCTTCAAATTCATAAAAATCTCAATTTTTCTTCAACCTCTCATGGTGTCCAAAAATGATCGGCTCTCCTAATACTATTAACTCAATAATGCCTTAAAATCCTTGCTATATTTACCAGCTCCCAATTTCTTAAAACCCCTCAATACTCACATTGCAGGCTCACCAGTAATTACCAAGCTTCCAGACTCGTGCTAGCCTCCCCTGCCCTAATATTTTGAAAAAGCTCTGGATACTCCACTGCTAGACCTTTCTGTCCCGAATTAATACTGTTGATTAAGGCAGCCTGCTATCTCCTTCAAGATCTCAATACTCACGTTTAAAAATCCCTCAACATCCCTACCACCTCCCTCCGTACTCCAGCAGCAGCATTTTAAACTACGTCCCCAGTCCTGAGCGCCCCTCCCGGCCCCCCAGCGCAGTATTTACGTTTAAAAAGCCCTCGCGTCCGCGCCGCCGCCCGCCCCCCGCCCGGTCCCGCAGCAGCGCCGCCTCCGCGCCCCGGCCCGCCGGCCCCCACGGCGCGGTAGTACTCCAGAGCCCGCGTCCCGGCGCTGCCCGGGCCCCGACGCCCCCACGTCGCCCCTCCTCCGCCCCCCCGTAGCCCCCAACGCCCACGCTCCCGGCCCCGGCCCGGCCTGGCTCACTCACATCGGCTCCAGTAACTTGGCCAGCCAGGACTTGAGGGCATCCACATCCTCTATGAGCATGGTGCAGGGAAGGCGGGCTCGGTCGCCGCTCTTCTTCAGGCCTGCCGTGGGTCTCCCCTCGCGGCCTCCTCGCGCTCCCTTCACACCTCCCAGTGCCCTAGCCCACCGGGCATCTTAAAGAGACTTCCACCTACTCCCCCGGCCCGGGCCTAACAGGAACTAACCCCAGAGCCCTCACTCAACCTTACATGAAGGTCTAGGTAGGCGGGAGATAATGCCGAGCGGCGGGCGTCGCAACCAATAAATGAGAGAGGGCCGTACGCGCAAGGCCAATGAAAAGATTCGTTCGCCCCGCCGGCCAGCAGTACCCAGTTAGAGAGAAGCGACCTAGCAAGGTAGGTAGAGAGCTTAAGTGAACTCCTGGTGCAAGATGGTATCTGGGAGAAGGTGCTGTGTCTCTTAAAGGGACCGCGGCGCCTTTTTTCGACCACGCCGCGCCGACTGTGGAATACTGGTGTCTGCTTCTGGGAGTGCCTGAGGGAATCCGGAGAGCCCCTCATCCTGGTTCCTTCCTCTCGGTCCCTCTTTTTTTTTTTTTTCCCTGGAAACACATACTTGTGTCCCGAAATGACTCAGCTGTAGTAAATCTGAAGCACAACGTGCCATTACGTTCATCTTTTTTTCCTTACACGCTCATTTTGATCTGCGTGCGTATATTTTTGCCGTTGTGCTTAAAGTACGTAGACTGTTTCAAAAAATCATGCCTTGAAATGCAGTCATCGTTCTTAAAACGTGGCGCACGGATATAAAAGACAGGCCATTTCAATTTTGCCAATATTTTTATTTAATAAATGATTTATTTAACAAGAGAAATGATTTTGGTAGGCTTTTGTAAAAAACACAAAACTTATTTTCATTGCGTATTGAAAGTAAGGTTTTTGGGGGGCGGCTGGAAGAATTTCGATGAGCAGCAGTTTTTGAGAAAAATAAATGTAAAGGAAAATTAGAAATTAATAAAATGGCCAACTTAATTTGTACCAAGAAATTCATTCCAGCATTCTAAAATTGCTGGCTTTAAAATAGAATAACTGACATCACTGGTGTTAGAATGTTTTATTCAATAATACATATTGACTCCCTGTTGTGCACCACCACCACCACCACCACCACCACCCCACCCCACCCCACCCCACCCACCCCCCACCCCCCACCCCCACCCCCGCCACACACACACGTGGTACCTGAAGTCCAATGGTGAGAAAGACCCGGTTCCTTCTCTTAGGAAACTGAACAATTGATGGAGTCATGCATTATGATAACATTCTGAAAAAACTTGATAAGTACACATGTCATATACAAGAGATAGATTAACCCAAAATGAGTAGGTATACTAAATACAGTGTATATAAAACAAGTGTAGGCGAGGTTTTTTTTTTTTTTTTTTAAGAGCCAGATAGTAAATATTTTTGGTTTCATTAGCCTTGAGGTCTCGTTAACTCGTGAATGTGTAATGCTTGGAATAAAACCAGTCGCACGTAACACATAAACAATCTTGGCTATATTCCAATAGCATGTTGGAAATTTTCAATTTATACATAATTTTCATATCATAAAAAATTATTCTTTTAATTTTTTTCCAAGAAGGCATTGTAAACTCACAGGTGAACAAAAACAGATGCCAGCAAGATTTGGCTTGTGTATCACTTATACAGAGTAATAGAACAGAAATGCACTTAGAAATCATCTTATGAATCTCCCTCACCTCACAACTTTACAATCGAGGAAAACCCCACAGACAGTGGTTTACCTAGAATTACATGTCCATAAATGGAGCCAAAGAAGCATCCAGTGTTTGTGACAGCAAGCCCAGAGTTTTCTTGTTGATTGCGTCTTCCTCCCTCTTCCTTTATGCAAATCCATATTTTTCCCTTCACTGATTTCTACAAAGAAGAGGAAGTGTTACCCCCAAATGACGTACATTTAAAAAATAGGTTAAAAGTTAACTGCATACTGTTAAAGGGACTGTGTTGATCACAGCAAACCACTTCTTTGCAAGAATGTCAAAGTGCTTTTCAAATATATTTATAAAACATATTTTGCAGGCCATGTTTCATAGGTGAAGGAACTCAAACATTGGCTTCTGGGTGACCAAGGACATGGTTTAACCACATTACAGAGGAGAGACATGATTGTGATGGTGAGATCTGGATTCGGGGATCCTAGGTAGTTTTTTCCCTTTGCTCTGTTGCAATGTTATCATGTTATATTTGTGAACTGAGTATAGTATACATGTATATATAGCCTTATATATGTAACATTTTCTGAATTGCTTTCAATAAGAATATCATCAATATACATACTGTATTAGGACTATAGTTTCAAATATTGATATTGAGTCCAAAACTGCTGTTTTTTTGTTGTTGTTGTTGTTGTCGTTGTTTGTTTGTTTTGTCTTTTGAGACAGAATCTTTCTATGTAGTTCGAAGTCTTGAACTCACTATGTATCCCAGGCTGGCCTCGAACTTATGGTGATCCTCCTACCTCAGCCTCCCAAGTGCTGAAATTACAGGTGTGTGCCACCACACCCAGCTCCAAACTATATTAAATAAGTAGCATTGACAAGAGCTGCTTTTCCAAAAGTAGAAATAGGATACAACATAATCTCACCTCCATGCTCAGTTCATTCCATTTGCTAGATTGTTCAAAGCCATGAGCTATTCTAGCCCTTAGCAAGAATTTTTCCATTTATTTTATTCAGAAGCATCATATACACGGAGCTGGCCCAGCTGCAGTCCACGAGGAATGAGGCATATACACATAAATGCTGGTTACCACATACCACGTTCTGTGCCAGAGCAGAGAAAAAAGAATTTTGAAGCTGTATCCACTCACTGAGCCCTTGGGGAGGAATCTAAGCCTTTGTCTCTGGGGATCTTAGATTCCAAGGCCTAATAAGCATTGGAAATAAGAAGCATAGCTCATGCTGTTGAACTTATAAATATGCATTGTGCCAGCTCTATGCTAATTATTTTGGTACATTGCCTCCCATCTCACATTATCTCTATATAATAAACACTGTTCCTAGATAAGAAAATTGCACTTCAGAAAGGTCTTGAAAATAATGGGTGGAATGATGCCTTGACTATTCCTGTTTGACTCAGAAGCCTACACTTTTAACTTTTTCTAAATCACCTTACTAGCAAATATTAATATATGAACTATGTGGTTCATTCAGAAATTCATTCAACAAGTGAGGCATGGCAGTACACAACTGTAATCCCAATACTCTGGGACGCTGAGGCAGGAGGATTGGAAATTTGCAGCCAGCCTATGCAACTTAGTGTCTCAGAATTTAAAATAATAATAATAATAATAAAATGGCTAAGGATATAATTCACTGTGAATACCCTAGTACAATCTCGAGTACAATAAAAAAAAATCAACAAACATGTTTGAACCTTCCACCATCTACTAGTCACTGCACTATTCGTGAGTAACACAAAGTAAGACTGATTTTAATATTCTTTCTTTCTTTTTTTTTTTTTTTTTTTTTTTTTTTTTTTTTTTTTTTTTGAGGCAGTGTCTCGCTGTGCAGTTCAGTCTGGCCTTGAGCTCACTTTGTAGCACAGGCAGGTCTCGAACTTGCAACAATCCTTCTGCCTCAGTCTCCTGAGTACTGGGATTACAGGTATGAGCCACCACGCCCGGCTAATATTCTTTCTTTAGTTAAGGTATTTAATTTTAAAACATTCATTTAGAGTTCTCTTAGTGTTATCTTTACCCACAGAGAAAAAGTTGCCAGTTAGACTGGCCATGGTGGTGCGTACCTGTAATCCCAGCATTTAGTGGCTGAGACAGGAGGATTGCCATTAATCTGAGGCCAGTCTGGGTGGCATAGTGTGTCCAGAGGAGCCTGGAGCACACAGGGTGACCTTGTGTCAAAAAAACTATAGAAAGTGTCAATTCATTGTTTAAGAAAAGAGGGATTGGACCAGGGGATGTAGCTCAATGACACAGCAACTGCCTGGCAAGCGCGAGGCTGTGAGTTTGATTCACACAAAAGAAAAAAAAAGTCAGCCTGAACTACGTAGCTAGGCTCTGAATGAATATATAAGTTTTAAATTGCTTCATAATCCATATCTATAACAATGGCTAATATTTTGTAATTGTAACAATGGCTAATATTTTGTAAATTGCTTCATAATCCATATCTATAACAATTGCTAATATTTTATTAAATATCATACTGAATGCTGGTTTGGATGCAGAAAAATTGATTGTTCATACTGTGCCGGTGTTAATGTAAAATGGTGTGAGTAGTTTAGCAATTTCTTTAAAAACTAAATCCAAAACTACCATATGACCCAGCAATTACATTCCTGGGCATTTATCCCAGAAAAATAAAACCTTATGCTCACCCACAAAAACCTATCCACAAATGTGAGTAGCAGCTTTATTTGTAATAATTAAAACATGGAATCAACCGGGCTGTCCATAACAGGTGAATGGGAAAACTATACTATGGTACATGCATGTCACAGAATACCACTCAGCTATAAAAACAATGAACTATTGATACATGTGACAACTTGAGTGACTTATGCTCTTGTAAAAAATGCTGATCCCCAGTGTTTACATACTTACTGGTTTCATTTTTATAACTTTTGAAAATAATATAAATTTAAAAGTAGAGGGCAAGATGGATATGGTAGCAGATGCCTATAATCCCAACATCAGGAGGCTGAGGCAGGAGGATTGCTGTGAGTTTAAGGCCAGCTTGGGCTAAATGAATTCAAGACCAGCCTGAACTACACAACAAGACTTTGTCTCAAAAATAGCCAATAAATAAATAAACAGATAACTAAAATATATAAACAAACAGACCAGGGCTAGAAATGTATATAGTTCACTACAAAGGTCCTGGGTTCAATGTCTGTTGCCTCAAGAAAAATGAAATTTGGTAGAAATACCCAAAATTCTACTTCAGTAGTGACTTTTTTTAAAGGCACAAAACAACAGCAGCACTAGACTTACCCCGTTCTCTTTAGACTAGAGTTCCAGTTTTCCCTAGTTCTGCCGATGTTTGCAATAGCACTGTCTTTTCTCCTTTACACTGATGAGTCCTTCAGGATTTGGACGCATCAAATAATAACTCGTGTTTCTTGTGTGCCAGGGACTCTGCCATGTGACTTCACACTGATCACATCTTTCAGTTTCTGCGTCAGGTTTTCTTTGAAGGAATATTGACTGAAACCCTATCATAAG